GTAGTAGTAGTAGTAGTAGTAGTAGTAGTAGTAGTAGTAGTAGTAGTAGTAGTAGTAGTCGTAGTAGTAGTAGTAGTCGTAGTTCCCAGAACTCCGTGCCCGGGCCACACTTTCAATGCCCGGAGCCAACTGTAGGCTACATCGTCTTCTTCGAGTGCCCGGAACAAGAAAACCTGTACCATACTTTGATGGCCCGGAGACCCATACACTTCTTCCAAGAGGAGGAGGAGGAGGAAGCAGCACATCCACAAACGATGCCCACCATCATCACCATCATCGTCATCACTCTCTTCGTAGCCTTCTTGGCTAGAGCCCTGCTTTCAAAGGAACTGCTCAGCGCCTACTGCACACCATAATGCCACGGCATGCTGGTAGTTCTCGGTCTGGCCGCGGTGTTCCCGACCCTGCTGAACTGAACAGCGGTGCTCCTGATTGCAAAAATCTACAATGAGAGTCCGAGTTGAATATTAATGGAATCGCCATCTGAATCTAAATGATGGTGCACACATATATGCTTTTACACATCGCTGTTAGGTTGCTTTGCTGGGATCATTTTTTTGTTGCATCTGGGGCTGTCTGGGAAACCTTTTGGGCGTCTCGGGAGGCGTCGGGGGGTGGGGTCTTGCGAGATACGTGGGGGTTCCTGTTGGGCTTCTGGGAGCCCAGGGCTGGAAATGTTCGTTCGGCCCCCTCCTGGACCGCTGGGCTCTTGTGTGCCTCTTTCCGGCCTCCTGGATGCTGCTTGAGGTCGCTTGGGGGCCTCTTGGAGACCTCTTGGGCTCTCTTGGGGTCTCTTGGGGCCTCCTCGGAGCATCCTGGACTCCTTCTTGAAGTCGTCATGGGACCTTCTTGGCACGTCTTCGGGGGCCTCTTAGAGTTTTGAAGCCTTTTGGGTGCCGTCTTGGGACCTCTTGGAGCCTCTTTTGGGTTTCTTGGGGGCCTCTCGGGCCTCTTGGGGGCCTCTTGGGGGCTTCCTGGGGGCATCTTGGGGCCTCTTGGGGGCATCTCGGGGCGGAGAGCTTGATTTTTCGGTTCGCGTTCCCTCTCTTGGGCCCCATTTGGGACCTTCTTGGACCTTCTTGGGCCGTCTTGGGCGGCTCTAGGGCCGTCTCGGGGCTCTCTCGGGCCGTCTTGGGGTTCTTTTGGCAGCCTTTGGGCCGCCTTGGAGCGGTTTTGGGAGCCTCTTGGGCGGTGCGCCGGAAACACGAAACAGCGAGAATGCAAAAAACATAGCAAAAAAGCCTTCCGAGCGCTTCTTGGGGGCTTCTCGGCGCCTCCTGGAGCCACTTGGGGTCGAAAGCTTGGAATTCGATGGTGGCTTTCCTCCTCTGGGGCCCTCTCGGGCCCGTCTTGGAGACTCTCTTGGGCAGTCTTGGGCCCTTCGTGGGCCGTCCTGGAGCTTTCTGGGGGTGTATTGGGGCCCTCTGGAGCGCGTCCTGGGCCGTATTGGGGCGGTCTCGGGAGCTTCTGAGGTCGTCAAACACGGACCGACAGCGAAAACAAGCAATATGTTGAAAATATACGGTTTACGAAGAGAATGGGGTTATTTTGGCCCCTTGGGGCTCTCTTTGGGGCCCTATTGGGGGTCGCTTGGGGTGTCTTGGGGGCTTCTGAAGCCACCTTGGAGGCCATGTTGGGCGTCTGGGAGCGACCTTCGGGCGTCCCGGGTCTGTTCTGGAGCCTCTTGGGGCCTCCTTGGCGCCTTCTGGCGGCCTTCTGTGAGGCCCCGGGGCTCCCCGAGGGCCCCGGGGCCCACATTTGCGGTCGTCTTGGGCCCTTCGTGGGCCGTCCTGGAGCTCTCTGGGGCTGTATTGGGGCCCTCTGGGGCGCGTCCTCGGCCGGACCGACAGCGAAAACAAGCAATATGTCAAACATATACGTTTTACGAAGGGAATGGGGATATTTTGGCCCCTTGGGGCTCTCTTTGGGGCCCTATTGGGGGTCGCTTGGGGTGTCTTGGGGGCTTCTGAAGCCGCCTTGGAGGCCATGTTGGGCGTCTGGGAGCGACCTTCGGGCGTCCCGGGTCTGTTCTGGAGCCTTTCGGCCCTTCTTGGTGCCTTCTGGCGGTCTTCTGTGAGGCCCCGGGGCTCCCCGAGGGCCCCGGAGCCCACATTTGTGGTAGCGGCGCCGGCCCCGGGCGCACGGACCTGGTGCGCCGTCATATGAATAAATACGTATGATGTTTTACCATGCGTATACATACACATACGTGAGATGTTACACCATGCAGGTGCATACACATACGTAGATGCGATAGCATGCATATGCATGCACACACGTAAGCATTGACACACTATATGTACATGCACGTACGTAAGATGCTGTACCATGCATGTAGATACATGTACGTATGATATGAGGTCACAAATGTTCATAGATATACGTGTGCTGTGGTCTCGGATATACAGATATACAACCATGCCCCCCTAGCTGGATATGATACCTATGTGTGAATCATGCGGGGCGCGCATGGGTTAACATCACACATGCATAGGGCGGTGTGTCCCGACAGGCGGCTCCACAGCCGGACAATTGTTTCAAGGGTTTTGTTTCAAGTTGTGTTTCAAGTTTTGTTTCTGGGGCGTTTCGGATTTTGTCTCTGGGCCCTGGCCTGGTTTTGTTTCTGGGCCCTGGCCAAGAGTGCCCAAGAGGCCCCCCCGGAGGCCTCAAGAGGTCAGAGTTGTGAGGATGCCTCAGGCGGTAGTGGCCAGACCACCTGCTCAGGGCATCTCGCAACTCAGAGTGGCGAGGGTCTCAGGCGGAAGTGGCCAGACCACCTTGGGGCAATGTATCTCCGAGATCAGAGCTCAGTGCATCTCGGAACCCAGAGTTGCGAGGATGTCTCAGGCGAACGTGCCCGAACCACCATGGGGCAGGGCACCTCCGAGGTCAGAGATCGCAGGATGTCTCAGGCGAGATCGGAGTGAACACCTCACCTCAGGGCGTCTCGGAACCCAGAAATGCGAGCGTGTCTCAAGCGAAAGTGCCCAGACCACCGTGGGGCAGGGCACCTCCGAGATCAGAGTTTCGAGGATGTCTCAGGCGAAAGTGGTCTGGCCAACTCAGGTCAGGACGTCTCGGAACCCAGAGTTTTGAGGATGTCTCAGGCGAACCGGGCCTCCACCTGCGCTTCCTCCTCTTCATCCTCCTCCTCCTCCTCTTCCTCCTCCTCCTCCTCCTCCTCCTCCTGCTCTTCCTCCTCCTCTTCTGCCTGGATGCTGCGCCGGTTGCGACTCCTCCCCTCCCCTTGCCCATGTCCCTCCCCGCCTCCTCGCTCTTTCTCCCCCCCCTCCTCCTCCTCCTCCTCCTCCTCCTCCTCCTCCTCCTCCTCCTCGTCGTCCTACTCCCCCCCTGTCCTGTCTTCATCTTGTGACAAGGCGGTCCTGCTACAGAGAGGAAATGAAGAAAACAGGCAAAGTAGGGTTTGAGATATGATCTAAGGTACACACCCAAAGTACCCTGCAAATTCGAGCACCCATCAGTGTGCCGCGCAAAAGTACTATCCACAGTACCCCCACTTTTCGGGACAAGTACAGAGCGCAAGGCAAGTTTCGACCGCCGCAATACAATATGTTCACGCGCAAACTCGGGACCCCGCATCGAGGCCCCCGCGGCAACACATGGCCTTGGCCAAACAATAACCGAAACGTTTCAGCGACATTCGCCGTCGGCAGGGCTGACCCCGCCGACTTGCAAGCCGCGCGCGGGCTGGGCGCGCACAAAACCAGCAAGTCGCGCGCCAGGATGCGCGCCGCGTATCGCAGCGCTCGATCCCACACTCCCACAGTAGCGGTCTAACCCAAAATGGCAACGGAGGCTCACGAGGGGAGGAGGGAGGAGGGAGGAGGAGGGGAGGAGGAGGAGGAGGAGGCGGAGGAGGGAGGAGGAGGAGAAGGAGGAGGAGGAGGAGGGAGGAGGAGGAAAAGGAGGAGGAGGAGGAGGAAGAGGAGGAGGAAGCGGAGGGGTGGGGAGGAGGAGGAGGGGAGGAGGAGGAGGAGGGGAGGAGGGAGGGGGCGAGGGAGGGGAGGAGGAAGGAGAGGAGGGAGGAGGGTGGGGTGGGGAGGAGGGGAGGCGGGAGGAGGAGGAGGGGAGAGGAGGACGGGCGTACTGGGGGCAGAAGAGGAGGACGAGGCAGACAGGAAGGAGTCAGAGGTGGGGCAAATGAGGCGATGACGAGACGGAAGGGGGGAGGACGTAGAGGCAGAGAGAAATCGAGGTCGATGGTGGAACTTGAGGGAGGCGGCGGTGGCAGGATAAGAACAACGATGGGGGAATACGCGTCGATGGGGGTGGGGGCGGAGTGAGGCGGAGGTGGAAGGGGGGAAAGACAGAGATGGAGGAAGGAACGTTGAAGAAAACAATACGGCTGAGGAGAAGGCGGCGGTGGAGAAATGTGGAAAGAGGTGAACGTGGAGAAGGGACGGGGTTGGAGACGAGGGAGGAGGAGGAGGAGGAGGAGGATGAGGAGGAGGAGAAGGAGGAGGAGGAGGAGGATGAGGAGGAGGAGGGGGGGGAGGAGGAGTAGGGGAGGAGGAGGAGGGGAGGAGGAGGAGGAGGAGGAGGAGGGAGGAGGAAGAGGAAGAGGGAGGAGGATGAGGGCATGGCACGGTGCCAATCCCTCCACTGCGTACTCTGCGCACTCCACAACGGCAGGGGAAACAATAGTCCGATTGCTTGGCCGAGCTCTGGCCACGACGTCCAGCCACCCAGGCACTTCCAAAAGGCGGGGCGGCGGTGATTCGCCGCAGGCGTCTTGGACCATTGACTCCTCCTCATCTTCCTCATCCTCCCTCTCCTCATCCTTTTCATGATCATCGCCATCGTCATTCTCGTCATCGTTGTCCTCGCTCCTCTCCTCATCAGCCCTTCCCCCGCTGGTCCACGTCGGCAGGCCTTGACGAAGGCGCGCATCTTGAGGCCGCACACCTGCTGGGGCTCCTGTGCTCCAGGGCCGTCGGGCCCGCGAACCTGCCGCGGCATGCCGTGCTCCGCGGCTCCGCTCAGGCCGCCTTGAGCGAGCACATGTTCTTCATCATGTCGCGCAGCTGCTGGGGCATCCTGTCGAGCACTCCCGCGGAGTTCACGCTCTGCTTGATCTTGTTCGCGGCCCTGCGGAGCTTCGTCGGCGCATCCGCGTGCTCGATCTGGTCGTGGATGAGCTTCGCCGAAAACATCGTGGCCAAGCAGTCGGCTTTGATCTCGCGGGCCCTGTCGACGAGGGCGGCGTCCGTCGTGTAGTTGATCACCGTGGACCACACGTTGTAGGTGCCCATCGCGTGGATCAGCCTATCCGTCATACTCTTGAACTCGGACGCATTGATCTTGAGGAGCGTGGTTTTGCCGAGCTCGATGACGCCCTTCGCCGACGCGTCTGCATTCAATGTCGAATGCCACGGCTGATCTTTCGATGCGCCTCCTGTGCTCTTGGGCTCCGCTTGGTCGCACAACTGCATCAAGGCCCTGCTGTTGTTCTCTGCCGAGACCAGGGAAGCACTCTTTTGCAGGTTCCTGGCGTGGTCGTAGTCGATCGTGAGAGAGGGGACCTACGTGGGGTCGTTCATGAATTCCTTCACCCTCTCCAAGGAGGACAGCAAGGAGACCATGATGTTCTTCGCCGACGCCTCCTCCAAGCGCTTGCCGTCGTCTCCACCCAGTGTTTCCCATTGCTTCTTGTGCTCGACTATTGGGCCCCAGCGCTCGAGTAAATTGACGAAGCTGGTCAACTCCTTGTTGCCATTGTCAGTCAACCACTTTGCCTCTAGGATCTTCTTCAAGATGCAAACATACGGCTCCGTGGACTCAGGACTCTCGCAGTGGTTCCCGATGCATGCCGTGACACTCGCCTGGATTGCCTTGGCACTCTCTGCGCGCGCCTCGGAGCTCCGGCCTCCAGCAGCCAGGGCGGAGTCAATGACAGGGATTGCGCTCTGGCGCTTGGCAGGGTCCTTGAGGGAGTCTGCAGTCAAAGCCTGTGCCAGCGACGCGAGCCCCTGGTTCGCGTTCCATAGGTTGATGCCCGCCTCAGCGTCTCCGACCTCATTGAGGGCGATTTGCCAAGCAGAGCTCTTGGAAGTCAAGTTCTTCTTGGCTTCCTGCAACAGCACCTTCGCCTCGGACAGCTTCTGCGTCTGGGTGGTGTTGTCCATCTTCGCGTAGTTCTTGTCGACGGTGATTCCGTGCACGTACTCCTCGAGCTTCGCAGTCAGCTCGATCTCGAAGCCCTCCCAAGAGCCAGGCCGGCACTCTAACTGAAGTTTCGCCACTGTCTGGAGGGCAGCCAACATGTGCCCACCATCCACGAACGCCGCTACAGTCATCTCCTTCATATTTTTCTCATGCATGGCGACGGTGGGCAGCAGCTCCTTCGTCCTCTTGTAAAACTTGTGATACTCATCCTTCATCTCGGTGTAGTCGGCAGGCCGCCTGATCAGCAAGGCGAGATGGCGAAGGCTCGCTTGTCCAGGCTTGCTCTCTGCACAATTCGACAACGCAGTCACAGCGTCATCGTACTGGGTGACCTTCGGATTGATGAAACTCAACAGCGCTTTCCATGAGGTGATCAGGCTGGTGATGAGCAGGTCGTAGTCCTCATCGTCGACGACGTTGTCGTCCACCCAGTCGAGCCAATCCACGCATAGCCTCTTCAAGCTGGATTTGCCAGCCTTGCCGTTCGCGATGTGCCCGTTATACACGTCAATCATGAGGGAGTCGGTCATTGAGATCTTGTCTTGCTTGGAACCGTCAATGGTGTAGACGCGCGGGTCGCGCGGCTTGAACGTTGCATCGTCGGTGTCGGTGAGTGTGTTCCATGGGGCGGCCACCCGAAATAAATCCGAGGCCGTGCAACTGCCCGCGAAGATCATGTTGCTGAATCTCGTCTTCAAGAGCTCGATCTTGACGGCGGACCTCACGTCTTCGGTCATGCCTTCGATGACGACGAGATACGAGTCGAGCTTATCTTGGTTGATGTTCTTGATTGGTTTTTCCATCAAGCCGCAGATGGCCTCGGCGAGCTTGCGATGACCATCGAGCTCATCAGCCAGCTCGGCCTCGCCAGGGATAGCCTTGTCCAGGATGGCTGCGACAGCATCCCTGGCCCAGCGGATCCCCCTGCCCATGGCGTCCCCATTCCAGCACCTCTCGAGATTGAGGGCCCCCTTCCTCCGCTGCACGAGATCGTAGCTCTCGGACTTCTCGGGGGTAGCCCCCGCCGTTGCGGGGGACTTCCGTGCTGCCTTCCCTGAAGTGGCCTTCTGCCTCTTGTTCTCGCTGTACTCGCCGCTGTAGTGCGTGACGGAGTCGCGCAGCGCAGCTGGGTTCAACGCAGGGGCACTCATGGTTGACGGGCCTGGGCTGAGTGCCGAAGTAGGTGCATCAGGCGGCCTTGTCGAGGCGTCGCCCGTCGACGACGCACCATCATCACATGCGGCAGAACCCTTAGCCTTCTCGGAGTCGAGCAACCTCTGGTAGTTCTCACCCTTAGCCTTCAGCGTCTCGAGCGTGTGTGCCTCGGTCTTCGCCTTCGTGAGGACGTGCTTTCATATGGAGTTCTTCGTCTTGGCATCGTTGCATTCGTACTCGAATGCTTTCTTGCCCTGGTCCGCGAAGAGCTGCGCGCCCCCCTTCAACTTCGTCGTGTCCCTGGTGATTGACATCGTGGTGGACACATCGACCTCCAGGTACGGCCTGCTGGGATTCGGCACCAGGACGCCTTTGAAGGCGTTGCCCTCTGCATCCACCAGGTCGCCGAGCCGCAGGCCGACCTTGTCGGGCTCGTGGCCGCCCAAGGCGGCAATGACTTGCTGGCGGGCCAAGCCAATCATCGGCTTGGTGACCTTTACCTCGAAGGACTTGGAATCAGACACGTCGCTAGAGAAAAACGTGCGCATAACCCCGTCCTCGATCCGTCCAGACTCCTGCCACTCCGCGTGGATCGTGCTGCCCTCGTCTTGAACGCCTTCCATAACGAAACTGATATCGCCGTAGGTGGTGAGCGCGGCCAAGTAGCGCTTCCAGCACTTCTGGCAGACCTCGACCTGGCAATCAGCGACGGCCTCACCGCTGTCGCAACACCCACAGAAGCCGCAACAGAATTCACCACCTACCCTGAGCTTTTTCACGTTTGCGATAGTCAGGGCGCCTCTGGACGGTTTCGCAGCTTCTCGTTTCTTGCCACCGCCACCACCGCCAAGACCCTTCCCGCCTCGAGTCGACATGACGCAGCTGTGCTGCAAGAGGGCGAATGGTGGCCCGGAGGGACCTCAAAGATGTCCTACAAGAGACTCGCTCCCACGTTCTTGAGCCGAGCCCTCTACAGCGTAGACACTGGTTGATACGAAGATGGGTTCGAAGGACCTGCCCAAAGAGGGGGGAGTCGCGAACCTAGGCGGACAAGCTCACCGAACCTGGCTCGAAGAGGTGCCACAAACGCAAGGCGCCTATTGGAATGGCACCACCCCCAACCAGTACTACGCGAGCTTGGGGGGGCTAAATTGTCAACTCGTGAACCACCCCCAACTGGTACTAGACGAGCTTTGGGGGGCTAGGTCCCACCAGCCATCTGGGCGTAGGTGGTCTAGAGCGGTTCCTCCTCCAGTTTCCTAATCAAACCCATCTCCCTACCCTCTCCCCTGGAAATCCGCCGACGGCTCTTGGGGCCCTCTAGGGCCCTCCTAGGGCCCTATTGGAACCATCTTATGGGCCCATCAAGGGCCCAAGAGGGCCTCCCGCGCTTCCCTGATCACCTCAACGCGTCTGGGCGTCGTTCCTGGATGGGCTGGTGGGGATACGCGAAGCGTCAAGAACCTCCTGCTGCCCCCCGGGCCTCAGGCCGAGCCCAACAAACACAGCAATTGGGTACTCCTGTGAGAAGAAGCTCAAGAATCCCCCCAAGACAAGGATAGCGTCCTGAACGGGCGAGAAACCTTCCATAAGAAACCCAACCCTGAGACCCCAGGATGCCCATTGCTTTTTGGCGTGGGAATGCCACGCTTTCCATAGCGCAACCATCGAAGCCCAAGAAACCCAGGGCACCCTGGACGGAGGAACAGGATCAACCCAACGAGAGATCATCATCATTATCATCATCATCATCATGGTCTCTTCCTCCTCCCCCTCCTTCCTCCTTATCTTCTCCCTCAACGTCCCCCTTCTGGTGGCGGTGGGTTCCGCGCCACGTAACGTTTTACCTCCGCCAGCGTCTGCCCCAGGGGGAGGAGGAGGGAGGAGGGGGAGGAGGGAGGAGGGAGGAAGAGGAGGAGGATGATGATGATGATGATGAAGCGCCTTGAAAGGTCGGTCCTCCCAAAACACAAACCTGAGAAGCCACCAATACGCCAAGTGCGCACGGTAGAGAAAGAGGGAAACGGGAGGAGAGGCAGGAGAGGAAAGAAGCGAAGAAAAGGTAAAGCCCAACCCAGGATTGAAACCCATGATACTGAAAGAAATCATGAATGACCGACTGTCCAATATCCCAAATGAATCCCACCACTAGGTCTCTCTTGTGTTGAATGAAGATGAGAAACATAATGAAAGATAATGAAAGAGGTGCCCAAATTTGATTAACAAGATCTTGAGTGACAATTGGGGCCCAACCTTGAAAGCACATGGTCCCAAGGTCTAAAGTAAGTAAGAGGTGAAGAACTTCCATTAAGTCCCATGAAACCCATTGAACATGAGTAGCGGCCAAGGCGGATATGCACTGAAAGAGAATCTGAAAGATAAACTGAATGTCTCAAGCACGCAATGAACCCAGAAGATACGGAGGCACACAAGATGAACTGTCAAAGCAGAATGAGATCCCAACCGTGAGAACCCACACCAGGCATGTCAAGGCATATGGAATATGGTTGAATTCAAACGAATATGGAGAACGCAAGTTGGCTGGAAATGTTTATAACCTTTTGTATTTTGCAAACCAACATCGTAGAAATACATGCAAGAGAGATTGAGAGAGACTGAGAGTCCTCCAAAAGCCGCAGGCCCATGCACCGCAGACACCAGGAGATCCAGTCTGAGGGAGTCCCAGGAATGGCCTTCAGCCGTACTTCCAACGCCACTTTTCCACGAAGAAATCTCCATCCCACCAGTAGTCGGACAAGTACCACACAACTGGGTGAGGCCAGCCCGAATCGGGATCGATCCACGTGTCAAAGTACTCCGTATTCCATACTTTGGTGTAGACTTCGTCCTCTTCGCAGTAGTTCCACATTCCGCCCGAGCCGTGTGTCCACTTGAGACGCTTCTTGGCAGCAAGCTTGACTGGAAGGCAGCGTTTAGCCATCCCCTGGAGTTGGAGGTTTCCCAGCCGTCTCAGACAAGGGCCCCAGTAAGGATTTGAGGCGAAACGGCTACTGACCCGCAACAAATTCTGTCCAAGGAACTCTACGAACCCTTTCATCGGGACCCCGAACGTTGACATACAGACCATGATAGCCGCTGTCCCGGCAGGCTTTGAAGAATGGGATTTTGCACCAGTCATATGTGAAATGAGGACCACCAAGGCCCGACGGTATAAGAAACCGAGCCGGCAACTTGACCACCCTTTGGAATAGTAGCGGGGAGCAGTATGAAAGTGCCTCAAGATCTCGTTTAGACAGGAAGCAGACTTTGCGGTTAGACCTGCAAAGCTTCCCCTGAAAGATAACGTAAGGATCCGAAGCCGTGTGATGTAGCATACCGAAAGCTTGAGCCCGAGACTGCAGGAGCCGACAGGGGACATGGGGAGGGAAGGGGCCCATCCCCCCAAGCCCAAGGGAGGAAAACAGACGCCGAGGCCCAAAGACTCAGAGGCATCCTGAGGAAGGAAGGATTGTTGCGAAGCCACGGTATCCCTAAGATCGAATGGATCGAGCGGGTCCCAGATAGAATCGCACAAGTGACATCTCCTGGTGTCAGCCAATCCACTAGGTGGTAGGCAGAAGGAGGGAGAGGAGATCCCAAGGGGTCTCGATTCAGACTCAAATGCAAATTCCGTGAGGCGTCAAATGCCCCGGCTCCACTAGTATTGAAGCCTGTTCTCTGAGGCCGCAATTAGGTAGGATACCCAGACCTCTGAAGATTCCGTAACATTAAATTTGTGCACTTGCATTCCGTGAAACATTGCCACGGCAAACTTCCGAGTATGGGGTGCACATGGGCCACGAAAAAGGCGACGGTCTTTCCCGGTCCTAGCAAAAGACCCATGTTGATCGACAAACGTCAAAATTGACCGAATGGAGCAGATGATGGGAGATATCCCCTGAATTATGTTCCAGAACCGATCTGGGTCAACATACCCCGCTCCCAACCCAAGCTCCATCAAATCTCCAATAAGCTCTAGCCATCGAGAAGTGTCGGGTTCCCTTTTCCACCGCTCGCGGGCCATCCTCTGTACATCGGTGACACGACCAGCGACTGAGCGAAGCTCCTCCATGGATTTGGACGAGGCCCTGGTAGGCTGTCGTCTTTGAAGATACCTGGCCATTTGACCCCAAATGTTCCACCAGACTGTGTAAATGAAATTCCCAGGGTCCGACCAGCGATTGTCGTAGAACACTGCGCCTTTGTATGACATTGTCTTGATCTGTACAAAAGACATAGAGCGCACTGCGATTCCCACGATCCCAATAAGGTTCTTGCATGCCTCACTTGAGAAGAATTCCTCAAAGAGATTCCATAGCTGCCTGAGAGGTATCTCGAATTCGCGCCCCTTCTCATACATGTGGAGTGTGACGCATTTCCGTGGATTGTATGAACCTGAATTTACAGGAACGATCTCGGAACTTTCAATTGCCAGTGCACGTGGGCAGGCGGATGCCCATGCCTCGAAGACACAACACTGGAGAGATTTTGAATTCCATGGCCTGACGACCCTCTGAGGGGCAAGCATGAGAGTGTGTTCCCAGATAACTTGAGAAGGGGTTGAAGCAGAACGAGGTAAGCGGATTGAACCAAAATGACTACAGAAAAGCACCAGGACACCAAGACAACCGACAGATGTGGATCCATTAGATGGTGAGACAGGGATAAGAGATACACTTTATCAGGGATCGGACGGCAGTCGTCGTCCTGGCCAACGAAGTGAGATTAACAATCCCAGGCCAAACCCATTTGTACTGAAGTGAAGAAGCAAACTAAGCGCCAAACGACCCCGAGTAGAAACTTGCCACTTCGAGGCCGTGGGCAAAGAGCGAGAGTCAACCCCACTTGGCCCCTACAACCGAATTGAGAAGAACATGATGCAATCCCAGCTCATGAGAAATGACCTGAAGGCCCAATGGAATGAAGCACTTGTAATCCCAGGAATTCCCAGATTGAACCGAAAGTCATCATCCTGGCAAACGTGATGAAATTAACAATCCCATCCAAGCCCGTTTTGAACTGAAGTGAAGGACCAAACTAAGCGCAAAGCAATCCCAAGTTGAGACTTGTCACATCGAGGCTGTGGGCAAAGAGCAAGAATCGACCCCACTACTTTGGCCCTGACAGACGAATTGAGGAGAGCAGAATGTAATCCCAGCCCCAGAGAAATGACCTGGGGGCCCACTGAAAGCCCTTGCAATCCCAGATTGTTCCCAGATTGAACCAAGAAATGAGCTGAGGGCCCAAAGGACTGAAACACTTGAGCCGTATCTTCGGAACTGCCTCGATCACATCAGGAAACGAGGTTTGCATAACAGATGGCACCTTACATTGGCTCCGTTATTCCCAGACTCCACCGTGATAAGATCTCCCGCATCTTCAAACATATCCTCAATGAAGAGGAGGGCCACAATGCAGCTGCCAGCAAAGATCTGCGATTTGTCATGGAGCCTCTCCTTCTTTGGGCAGACCTCTGGGCCAATGAAGGCCTCCTTGGTGTAAAACCGCGCATTGAACAAATGAATGTCCTTGAAACGAAATGCGTTGAGCCCAAAGTGCCAAAGAATCTTCGTGACGTCCCTGGTAGTGAGATATCCGTGCTCTCCCAAGACTGGAATACTGTCTGAAACCAAGGGACCTTGATTGTCAATGATGAAAGGCGTCAGCTCACGAACTGTGATGATTTGGAAGTGTTCCCCGACCTTAGCCTTGAAGGTATTCAAACCAGTGAGCTGGGGAACGAAAGCCATAATGTAACGCCTTGAGCTCGCGTGGTCAGCGCCGCCCTTCGGAGCGAAAATTGGGCAGCCTGAGTGGTCGTATTCCAACTGAGACTTCAGCACTGGTGGGCCCAGCTTGCTGATCCAGGGCTTTT